CCTTTGTTGGCCCCCTCGCCCCCCGACCCCCGGTTTTTACGCTTGCGCCTCTTCTGGGGGCGGGGGGGGAGGCCATTGGGATGCATCCCCCGGGAACGGCCGCTTTTTTCTTTGTTGGGAGACCCTTTTTCGTCTTTGATTATTGCGGAACCAGTAGCACCAGCGGCAGCACCAGCGGCGGGGGGGGGGGTTTTTGGGCAGAAAAGGTGGGGGGGGGGGGGCGGAGAAGCAACGGGGGGGTTTAATAAATTTTCCAAAAAAAAATTATTTTTTTAAGGAAGGTTTTAAGGCCCCCCTTGGGGGTGTGTCGCTTTCCCGTTGGTTCCCCGGGGGGGGGTTCCCGGAAAAAAAGGGGCCCCCCGGGTTCCATTTTTTTTTCCCGGGGGGGGGGGGGGGGGGGGTAAGGATAGAAAACACCATGCCTCGGTGTGAAGGCACGGTGTAGGGATGGACCGGCAGTCGGATCGATGGCAACGCTTGCAGGTGATGTCATCATCTCTAGCAGACATGTCTAGGAAAAAGCCAGACCCGTTACTCCTCATGTTAACCGCAGTCACATGCGCAACCATGTCCTGCTAAATACGTCGCCGTAGGTGGGCGTCACAGACAGACTCCAGAACGCGTGCGTGCGCCAAGAAAAACACAAACGCGTCTCAAGAGCCTCTTAGTACAAGACATGGAGGCAATCCACACCAGTCCAAAATAACAGCAGGGTTATTTTGACGCATCAAGATCAACGCTGTGGCATACTCGCCGACCTGCGGGAGCCTGCGCAGCGGCAGGCTGGGGCGTGGGAGTGGGAGAGCTTTCGTGCCAATAAAATGGAGGTAAATCGAGCCTCCGACCTGCAGCAGCAGCGGCGGCAGCAGCAGGCTGAGGCCTGGGAGTTCTTCTGAGCCAAAAAATGGTGTAGTGCGTAGCTGAGGCAGCATCGGTCGCAGGCAGGAGACACCAGAAGCGCTGTGTATGCCCCCCCGCTCTCGTCGGGCATGCTTTCGCGAGCGTTTGCCGGTCGCCAGACACAACGCGGTACCACGCTGTCGTTTGGGTGCCCATGCGTGTCTTTGTCCTTGTGCGTGTGGTCGGGTCATCGTGCGTTCGTGTGTGTGCGTGTGGAGTCTGGTCAACGGTAGGGCCCGCGAGCTCAAGACGTTGCAGACCTTGTGGGGTTAGACATACTCCTCTGTGCGCGGAGTGATTACTTCGGGCAACTCTCGCATTTGATTAATCCCGTTCTGATCTATACCCCATCATGGGGGGGTACAGATTTTATTGCATTCCTTCGTTGTTAGATCATTGACCACGCGTCCTCGTAAAGACGCCGGGGGGGGGGGGGAGTCTGACGTACAAAAGAAGCTCTGACATACAATGTGAAGCCTACATACTTGTTTTCAAGACAACACAGGTCACGGGTTGATCAATTAATCGCACCAAAACAGCAACATGTGGGGTACGGACTTTAAGAGAAGAAACCATGTTCCACGCCATCGCCTTTGTGAGGTGTCACACACACTGTTACAACAGCGGCGGCTGATCTCACATAGCTATGTCGGTACACGGCCCTCAGCCACGAGGTCTACTACTGTTGCCGAGACTTTAAAACACCCATGAGCTGAAAATAACATGGCGGACTGCGTAGTTCCACAAAGCAAGGGACCCTGAGACTACCTAAATATCTTACTTTTTCGGATGCGGCTGTACAACATATAGACTCTGTCCACCGATCGTGGAAATAGCGAAGCAAAAAAAAATGCACACACACGGTAAAATAAGGGGGTTCACATACATGGTCGAATGCAGGGCTACATTGCGAAGCGTGTAAGTACCGCATTCGTTGGTCCATTCGTCGAACATCGCTACTTGTAGCATTGTTCGGCCACCGGACTGTCTTGGCTCTCCACAACGGAAACGGTCCGACCATGGACATGGCTGTGTAGGCAGCAACGGACAATTGGCATCTAGAGTAACTGGTGGTGAATATGCTATTATACAGTATTTGCTGTATATAACAGGCCACTAACGAAAACGATCTCCCTTCAGTATGTGGAGGCCTCCAAGCGAATCCTAGTACGCCACACTGCGAGGAGATGAGAAGAGATTCATTCGTAAAGATTGCTGGCGATCTGGCGATGATGAAAAAAAAAATGCGCGAAAAGCTCGTACATGTAGATGAAAAAAAAAAATGCGCGATTTTCTTTTTCAGCAGCCGGCCGAGTTGTTTTTCGAAAAAGTCGGGGCATGTTTCGTGAGGAACTCAAAAAACGCCCAGCATGAATATGCTCTCGCCATGTGTCCAGTGGAGAGAGTGGAGGCGGGGGGGGGATAGCAAAAAATTCGCGGCTTGATTTGGGGGGATCTGGTGCGTGTGTATTCCGAGGCGGGGAGAGGGATATGGAGAGAGAGATAAGAGGGACAGAGACAGACAGAGATATTATCGAGGTTCCTTCTTTCGGAAGCGGAAAGGCGGAACAGCGGCCGTTTGAAATCCGAGCGGCGATCGATGCTCGTCCCCACTCGATCCCCACGGAATCGCTCGCGTTGACACGCTCCGAGGGCGGATTGAATCAGCCGCGAATCGCGTGGGATACGTCTCCGCGGTGCAAGGACACATGTTGTTGTGTTGGGAGAGCCGCGCGCGCCAAGAATTTTTTCAGCGTCTCTCCGGCATGATGGATTTTTACCGAAGCCTCGAGGTGGCTCAGCACAACTCCACCAGACGCAGGTATTTGTCGAAGAGGACTACAGAGTTCACGAGCCTTGCCCGCCGGAGTGATCGCGCGACGTTCCGCGAATCGGGGTCATGGCGGGCTCGCGGTATGATTCCTATAAAACGCGGCGTAACGACCAAAAATCACCACGGCCAACTGACTACTGGCTGTGTACCGAAAAAGTTCTCAACACGTCTCCAGCAGTCGGTTCAAAACACCAACACCCACGACGATGACGCGGGCTGGGGCACGCCCCCCACGCTCACCCTTCTTCTTCTTAGACCGCTTCGCGCTCAGGTGCTGGGGTCGATCGTCCTCGCTGTCGTCGTACTTTTTCTTTTCCGCGTTCCTCTTTGGCCGCGAGGACACCGCCGCGGCCTTGTTGTGGTCGGCGGACAGCTGTGCCTGCTGCCCAGGCTTCGGCGCAGCGCGGCTCGACGACGCTTGCGAGGAAGAGCTCGCGGGCGTGGAAGCTTCCACACCAGTGCTGCTGTCCGCCGCCTTCGATGAGGTCTTTGGTTTCTTCTTGGAGGGAGCCATGCCAGCCAGGGGTCAGCACCTGCTGCTGCCACAGCAGTTCGGGGGGCGAGGAAGCACACAAGGGGCGGTTGGGTGCAAGGTGTGATCCAATCTATCTTTTTGATGCGACGTAAATATGATCACCAGAGCGCCGGTACGAGCTACCCCTCGAGACGCTAACACGCGGCAAGGTGGGAGTGGGCCGTCCCTGCCGCATATCATGTTTCCGGCCATGTTCAAACCCGCCGACCTATCCTAGGATCCTACACACCAAGCCGTTCGCGAGAGGCTACAGCTACAGCCACGGCGCAGCGGTGAAACACCCACCTGGGAAACAGAGTGTTGTGCGCGTCAAACTGGCCTAAACGAACACGCCGAGTACTCGTAGGAAGCAAGATAGCTCGAGCGAGAGGGTGTACCTTCGTCCTGCTTCGTGAGAGAAAGGTGGAGAAGAGGGGGGAACGGAAGGGGCGGTGTGTGTGTGCGGGTGCGCCAAAACCTTTCGCTGTCCTCGATCGTGGACTTCGGCGTAAACGATGATTGGTCGACATGCCGGGATAAAACCCGAACTCGTGCGATCATTGGTCGAAATCCCGTTGTGCCGGTTCGATGCTGGATTCCGCCGGTTTATGCCAGTGCGATGCCCCGGGTCCCGGGTCTCTTGCAGCGGTAGCCACCTGTGTGCGTTCAGACACAGAAGCGAACTGCCGGTGTGTCCCTTGCCCTCATACACAACACACACGCGACCCTCCAATAGCGTAGAGAGGAAGTTTATCATGACACAGCAGGGTGATAGGGAACCACCGCCGACCGCCGACAAGCTGTCGTTTTTTTTTGCGTCGGATACACGGGGGGAGAGCGGCGGCGGGGTGGGGTGCGTGGACTTGAAAAGTTGGCGAAGGCACTCGGCGGTGATAGAGTTTAAAGCAGCGCTCACGGTTATTCCCATCGCATGAATGGGCTTTGGGAGATGGCGTCACGGAAGCACAGTTGCATGTATGATGAGCGGTGTCGCACATGAAACAATAAAAAATCGATCATTACTACTTGTACCCGGTAGGCATCGATATCCTCCACCACTTTTTTCCGCCACAGCAAGCAGTTTTCGAAGTGTGGTCGCAAACGACAGCAAGACAATCAGTCAGTCTGGATAACGGATAACAGACAAGATTCCGCTCGTCATCTGGAGGATTGCAGGATGATGAGTTCCTCCGTCCATATCCTCCGTCTACAGCAGAGCACCTACAGCAACAGCAGTAGCGCCGCCGCCCGGACGCCGCCGCATGATCCAGAGGGGACCGCGCATGCATTCGCTCTGATTGGCGTAATGGTTGTGGGTGACCCGAGTTTCATGTGTGACGCCCCTTGCTTTCTTTGTAGTCGATGCTCTGTAAGCATAGTGTGTGCTGTTTTGAGTGTGTGCTCCAGACCGTTGGAATACGAAAAACATAAGCATACGCACTGAAAGAGATTGTTGTCCGTTCAAATGTTCAAATTGTTAGAAATTTAGTAACGGCAGGCACGCACAAAAAAAGGAACGCAGATGTATGCGCCTGTATCTACAGTACTTCGTTTGAAGCGAGAGAGAGGTGTTCATATCTTTCGTCATGAACACCTCCTCTTCCTGAAACATGAAGGCAAAGAAGCGATGTCCGCCTTGACAGCGTAACCACGAACACCCAACGGACTGAGAGCAAAACCCAATGCTCGTTGCAAAAAAAAATACAAGCAACTCGAAAAGGACATCCATATAAGAGTAGGAAAAGGCAACAAAACACAAAAATCCCTGATCCTCCCAAAACATGTCTACCGGTCGGGTGAAATCATTGCCAACAGCCTACAGCAAAACGCCACGCCTGAAAACAACAACACAATTTACAGTAGTCGGTACACCGAACACCGAACAGCCTTGAGAGAATGCTTCTCACTACATTCATTTACATTCGGTAAGGTGTAGCGAGCAAACATCTAAGACATTCAGCGAACAAGTGTGACACCTTTGCGATTCAGGCCCACAACGAACGAATACCGGTGGGCTCCGCTGGTTGGCGTCGGTCTTGTCACTAGACTATATACTCGGGGTGTCAATTTTTTCGCTGACTCTGGTACCTGCAGATATTGCAATCTTTCAAACGTCTGTTTTGTGGCAGATAGGGCAGTGGCATCGCTGAAGGTCTAGGTAGGTTCTGCTCCCTCTGTAGTCAAACCGCAAGCTGTTTGTACGTCTGCACAGGGTGACGGGCATGCGGACAAAAAGCTTGGAACCTCACTACAGACGGAGCGTAGCACCTATGGCCTTCGGCGATTGGACACTGCCGAGCCCGGACACAACCAACCCCAAGCATTGCCCATACAACTCATCTCCATGCCACACAATGGAACAATCTTGAAAACACGCCACCCGCCCATCCTTGGCGCAAGCCCCAACACGTGTCCATGCCTCATAGCCTGCTCCGCACCACGCCTCTAGAATCAACCATCTGTCCACGTTGCGCCCGCACTTTCACCACGCGAACCCCCCGGTGTACAGCCTCGGGCAAACCGCTTGTGCCATCATCGGCCTTGGTAGCTGCCGCGCTCCCTGTCCACCCTCGCTTCTTCACTGGGGTATCCAACGCCCTCAGCGTCGCTTCTTTTGCCAGTCGAAAGGCGTCCATGCCGTTTCCCGGCAGCTGCCACGGGTTGAGATATGGGAGTCCTGCGGCGTGCCACGCACAGAAGGAGATCAACCAATCAGAACTGTTGAGTAGGCTCAGCGTGATCGCACACTTCGCCATTACCCTTTCAAAGGTATTTTTTTCCCGACAGAATCTCCTGCTGCCTGTGCATAAGTATTTTTTTTCCGGCAGTATCTCCTGCTGCCTGTGCAAACGTATGATCCCCTGCGAGGTGCAACCAGGCAGGCCCTAGTCGTACAGAAGCACAAACAAGTGTTGGGTGTTCAGCACGCAATGGCAAAGTGGGAGAAGAAAAGCTTTCCTCCCCTACGGGGTCTTGCGAAGGTTGATTAACCTTCTCCCTCGTATGTGAACACGTCCTGACCGAATAAACATCTACAGGCTACGAACAGACCCAAAAACACACAGAAAAAACGCACCGTTTATCTTAAGCGCGACGAGGTCTGTAAACCCTCCCAGATGCTGTGTTAACCGTAGCGGGAGGTAGGTTGCCTGTGGGAACGAGTGGGTGATGCCGACCGCGCAGCCCGGAGGGAAATACGACAAAGTATACATAACGGCGGGGGGAGGTTGTACGTCAAGTCTTCCAAGCTTCTGAAGGGAGCGTCAAGCTGCAGCAGTGGTCTTATCGCGAACGAGAGGAGTTTCCCTATAAGTTCCCCGCTAGAGCACCAAAGCAGTAGAAGTGTTTCGGTATCTCCGACGAACAAAAAATGCCGCCTTGAACGAAGCTTCGATCCCATTCTCGATGTACCCCCTTCGATCAATTACACGACCACATGCCTGGAACAATCAACATTCCCACCCATGTCTCGACGAAATCATGTCGCATCAACATGTCCTCGTGTAATGTGCTACACGAAGTATGAGCGAGGACACAACGGTTTCTCCAGAGGGCCACCACACTTGCCTCCCAAAGGGGAAGGGTGAGCGATGATATTCCGAGACAACCGGGGGCAGGGCAGGCTCTACCACCCTCCTCATCTTCGTGTGTAATTATATGCTACCATCGACCGCGCTAACCGGCTGATCGATGAACAGACGTCAGTCTCAGTGCAGCCAAAAACGGAAACCGCGTCTAAAGGCCATGATCTGGGGGCCCGCGAGGGGGGATCATGAGGGGGGGGGGGGGGGGGGGC